AAGGATCCTGGGTTTCATGCGGAGGCTATAGAAGAAGCCTTCTGCTTGTAAGCTTTCCTTCCCTAAAACACAGGAAGTTCTACCTCTGATTCATACGGAAATTCTGGATCTTTGTGTGATGCTTACTCATCTCAGAGGTGGTTATCGGAGCTGTCACTGCCAGCAGGGTGGCTGTGTTGACCAGGGTGCACTTTCGTCAAAAAATAATAACCTTTTCCTAGGCTTAGTTCCTTTGGCTTGGCTGAACCAGCCCCAGGAGATCTCTTGGGCTCCAGCCAAGGATACCCAGCTGACCAGTGAGGAGCCCAGGGAGGGGAGCAAGTTAAAGATATGATTTGGTCTAGACAGCTTGAGACTTTCTCCAAACCCTGGAGAGGTGGAGCAGGAGGTGAAAGACGTGTGAGGCAGAGGAGCAACTGCAGGTGATGCAGGAAGAGGACAGGGGGCTTCAGGCTGCCAGGAAGAACCCCTTGGTTTCAAGTGCCATAGTACCTGGGCATCGCTGTGGCTACAGGGTGCTGTACTGTGGGGAATCACACCTTGGGCAGAGGGTTCCAGGCCTGAATTCCTGCTCTAGCATGACTGGAACATTGTCTGTCTCTCTGGGCTCATTTTCCTAGCAATAAAATGAGAATGGAAGGACAGATGCTCCTCTACTGACAGTGGGCTCCATCCTGATAAAAGCCATCGTGAGCTGAAAATGCACTTAATCCACTTCCGTTACTTAGTGTAGCGCACTGTGGACTATCGATCATGCGAATGGTGGCTTCCATATGTACCAAGCCAGGAAGAGATCAAAATTAAAAATTCCAAGGAAAGTTCCTACCGAGGTCTACTGTCCTCATACCTTGGTAAAGCAGGGCCATGGTAAGACCTGGTCAATCTGCACTGAGCCCTGTGGTGCATGCCTGGCACAGATCCGCCGTGCTTGGGGCATTCCGTAAATGGGATTTACTTCCCACTTTCCTGATCACCTTACTTTGGATTTGTGCAGAGACAGACCCTTTTTAAGGTAGCAATCTCAGTTCTGACTTCCCCTCCTTTCCATGGTCCTTGTGCATAGTGGATTGCTGTTTGGTGTCTGCACTGACAAACACACTGCTCTAGAGACCAGTGGAACCTTTGGAGTTCCACTCGGGGAGAGCCTGAGATTGTGTTAATTTAAGTCTGTTTCCTCGTCACGTAACCTCACCACTGTGAACTCCTAAGAGGCCATTTCCCGAACAGTTTTACCTGAGTGTGTGGTGGTGGGGTGCTGGGGATTGAACTCTGGGCCTCATGCATGCAAGGCAAGCACTTTGTCACAGAGCTGTATACCCAGTCACCCTCCCCCCATCTCACTTTAAATTTTGAGACAGGGTCTTGCTAAGTCGCCCAAACTTGTCATCCTCCTGACTCATCAGCCTGTGGCGTGGCAGGGATTACAGGCGTGGGCCACTAGTTTCTGCACACATTTATCTAAACGTTAAAACTACCCTTCAGAGAAGCGGGGCAGGGACCGATTCCTTCACCACTGCACACACAGAGGGCCCAGAGAGCAACGCTGGAGGCTGAGTATATGGGAGATCAGGCCCTGGAGGCCGTGTCCCACTGTTCCTGCAGGCATATGGTGGGTGGGCGAAGCCGCTTGTGGGAAAGGCCAGTGCTGGCCTTTGGGCCCCTGGTTAATGTGCCCAAGCCAAGGGTACAGGCAAGCCAGTGACCCTGCCTTCTCCCGAAGAACCTCACACAGCAGGATGTGTTTGGGATCACAGAGTGCGGGAGGGGGAGAGGACACCTCCTCCAAGCCAGTCCAGTCCTGGGGATGGAGCAGCACCCTCCAAAGTATGACATGAACTAAACCTGCCAGATAAAGCAAAGAAAATTTTAGCATGAGAAAGTCTCAACTATTGCATGGAAAAAACATTACAAACGATTGCTTATATATCTGAAATGCAAACTTCCTTGGGCTTTCTAATTATTTATTCATTTATTTATTGGGTTTTTGAGACAGCGTCTCACTGTTTAGTCCAGGCTGGCCTCAAACTGGTGGTGATCCTCTTACCTCAGCATTAGGAGTGCTGGGATTACAGGTGTGTGCCACTGTGCCCGGTGGGGCATCCTGTATTTTTATTTGCTATATCTGGACCTCTGGAGTGCACATGAAAGCCTTCAGGTTGGGCACTCAAGGTCCTCCCAAGAGGCCTGAGCCTTGCTGTCACTTCTGTCTCCCTTCGGTTCCACACCAGCCAGACGGGATCACACACCCATGCTTCACATCCTCCCTACCCGATACCATCTCTGACCTTTGCAAATACTAGTCCCTCTGGCTGGAATGACTTCCATTATCTCTGCATTTGGAAAGACTGCCTGTCCTCTCAGAGCCCATCTTGTTGTTGTTTTGCTTATGATTTTGTTTTTTCAGACAGGGTCTTGGTACATATTCCAGGCTGGCCTTGAGCTCGCTATATAACCTAAGCTGGTTTCAAACCTGAGGGGCCCCTCTGTTTCAGCCTCCTGAGTGCTACGATTACATGTGTGCACTACCACACATGGCTTTTGCTCTTTATTTATGTTTTGTTTCTCATATAAAAGGCAGCCTGGGATATAACTAAACTCATGTATCTTTTATTTCACTTATATCCATTTAGCTACAAAGGTCTCAAGTTTCTCTTTCTTTATGGAAGAGTAGCACCCCACTGTGTATAAACACATTTTCTTAACCATTCATTGTTGATGGGCATACAGGTTGATTCCAAGATTTAGCTATTATAAACTATGCTGTTAGACATAGGTATGCATGTATCCCTTTAATATGATGTCTCTAACTCTTTCTGGAAGATACCTAGAAGGAGATTAGCTGGGTCAAATGGAATTTTTAGTTTTAGTTTTCTGAGGAATCTCCACGGTGGTTATACTACTTTACCTGAAGGCTCTCCATAGTGGTGACACTAATTTACATACCTACCAACAATCTAGAAGGGTTCCTTTTCTCTCTGTAGCCTCGCCAGCATTTATTACAGTACGTGATTTCTTATGGTAGCCATTCTTTGTAGCGTAGCTGGCATCTCAGTATTGTTTTAATTTGTATTTTTCTAACGGCAAGTCATACTGAGCATTTTTTCACTATTTATTGGCTGCACTACTTCTGAGAAGTGTCTATTCATTTCACCTGCCCATTTTTTTTATTAGATCCTTACATATTTTGGGAAAGGCGTTTTCTTTTTTCAGTTCATGATAAAAATTTTAAAAAGGACCAAGGATGCAGGTCAATGCCAAGGCCCTGGGGTTAATTCCTAGTATGAAGTATGAAAGAAAGAAAGGAAGAGGTCTGCAGCACACAAAAACCACAAACCAAACCAAAACCTTAACCTCCTAACCTATAAGCCCTCTGAATTTTTGGAGGTCAGCTCCTCTCGGGCAGAACTGACCACATTTTCTCTGTTGTGTAACATTTCCACCAATAGCGCCCGCCGGTGCTCCACCTAAGACACTTGACTTCTGCAGGCTGATCCTGTACCCCCGCTTCTGCCCCGCCCTGTGCTGCCCACACCAGCGATTCCCCAGTATGTATTTATTGTGGTGAAGGGAACGGTGGGTAGGAGGTTGCATGTCTGGGTGCCCGCTTGAGTTAGATCCCAGACTTGCCTTCCTGCCCTGGTTCGGGTCTCTCCCAGAGGCCACCTGTCCCTCCCAGAGGCTGGAGAACAAAGGAAGGGGTTTTTTGGGAGTCACTGGAGGGTCTACACTAAATGTAGACTTTCTGGAAATCTTCTCTAGGAGTCCAGGGAGACTCTGGGGGCTCTCATGCAGCTAAGAGAGGTAGGAAAGAAATAAAACTTGGAAACAGGGAGTGTGCACTGTGTGAGGAAGGGGACTTGGAGATAATTAATGCCAGAGAAAAACAGAACATAGCTTTGGGGTACAGCAGAGAGCACTGTTTCAAGAGTCATGCAACATGGATCTTCTCTCTGATTTTATCTTGGACCAAAAGAAAGGAAATAAATAGATGAGTACCCACAATGTACTTCTGTGTAGGTTTCATTCAGATTTTCCTACAAAAGTGGGGTTCAAAGACGATAAATGTCCGACCTACAGACAGGCAGCCCAGTGTATTTAGGAAACAGGACACAGATTACTGATGCTGTCAAGGTTAAATGAAATAAAATGAAGGGCATGGCACCATTTTTAAGGTCCACCCCTCTCTCAGTTCTACCAGTAGGATATTTCTACACGAGAAAGAAAAAATAATCCTCAATTATGGGGCAAAAAGTGAAAGCAGGAAATAGACACGAAGAGGCCAGGGACCCGAGAGATGCAGGGCTGTGCAGATGTTAGGCAGGCCTGAAGCTTCTCCCTGGCTCTCACTGGGTCACAGGTGAGCGGAATTCAAGTCGGGCTTGGGACACAGCGGGGGAGGTCCTGGAGGCACAGCTTGCAAAATGCACTCGTAGAAATCGGAGAGGAAAAGTCGGCGGGCTTCCCGCAGGACCTGGGGTTGGGAGTGGGGTGCGTTTCCTGCGTACCTAGGAAAGGTACCTTCCTGCGTACCGAGGAAGGACGCCCTTCGGCAGCCTGCAAGCGCCGCGGGCTGGGAGGGCCAGGGCCCGAGGGCTTCCTTGGAGAAAGGAACTCGGCTGAGGAAACCAAAGGACGGCGCGGGGTCCCCCAACTCCGCCTCCTGGCGCCCCCGGCAGCCTCCGTGGAAAGAGGCGGCTGGGGGAGGGGGACGCCCGCAGCGCTCCGCGCGCTCTCCCCGGCGGCCGCGGCCAGCAGCCTCGGCGTCCGCCCGCGCGCTGGCACCGCGCAGGGAGCGCTGCGGAACCAGGACCGCCGGCCTCCGGGGCTCCGCGGGAAGAAGGCGCGCCCGGCTCCGGGCTGCGGGCGGGACGCGGGCCCCGGCGGGAGGGGGCGCTGCAGCCCAGCCTCCGCCCCCTGCGCCACCGCGCGCCCAGACCGAGCTGCGGGGGCGCGGTCCGCCCGGCGCCGAGGGCCGCGAGCACCGGCCCGGTCCCGCCCCGCGGCCCGCCCCGCCCCGCCCCGCCGGCCCGCCGCGCTGTGAATGAAGGCAGGCGCCGCCGCGAGCCGGCTGCCAGCCACACGGCCCCGCCGGCCTCCCGGGAGGCGCGCGCCCCGCGGAGATGTACGGTAAGGAGGGCTCGGCCCCGCCGCAAACTTCCAGGGCGCGGACCTTTGTCCCCGCGCGCGGCCCGGCGAGCCGTGAGAGCGCCGCCGACCCGGCATCCGGCCGCCCGAGCCGGGCGCTCTGTGCGCGCGCCGGTGCCGGGAGGACAAAGATGCGGCCGCCGGGGACGCCGGTCCTCGGGTCCTCGGGTCCTCGGCTCCCGCGTGGGCAGGCGCTGGGCAGTGGCAGGGCAGGGGTCCGGGCCTCGGGGAGCAGGTCCTTCTGCGAGCCGCGTGGGCTGGGCGTGTTGGTGGAGGTGGCCGTGTGACAGCGTGCGCAGGATTAACAAAGCGGTTTGCGCCCAGGAGTTTCCTGCGGGAAGCGGAGCCGCGGCGGAGGGAGGCGCGCTGCCGCCTTCCGCGGGCTCCGGGATGTGGCTGGCGGCGCCGGCGGTGTGGCGGCCGCGCGAGAGCCAGCGCGGGGAGTCGTCCCTCGCTCCCTTGGTGGACTTGGCCGCCCTCCTGCCCGTGGCCTCAGGCTTGTGGGCTTGCAGATCGGCCCGCCACAGGGATGGAGGGCGCAGCGCAGCCCTGACCTCTCCCCCTTGCCCAGCTATCGCCCGCTACCACTTGCATCAGTTCAGCAGAGCAGCACTGTGGGCTGCTGTGCTCGGTACAATGTGCCAGGAACCTCTCTAGCTTTGCAGGCAGAGTGGTTGAAGAAGAAAGCGCCCGGGGTCCCACACTGCAGCTGGTAGACTGGAGTCCTGGAGATGCAGTCCGGTTTAGGAAGGGGCTGCATCACAGAGCCTCCAAGGGCAGGTGTGTGTGTGTGTGTGTGTGTGTGTGTGTGTGTGTGACCATACAGCAGAGCCCAAGACTAACAGCTAGCTGTTCTAGGACCACCAAAACAATTGGAGCCGTGTTCACCTTCTACTCCCAAGGCCTCGTAGCACCTGGGGGAAGACACATTCCCAGTTTAACCGATCAGTGAGCCTGCTTAATGCCTCGCTCTGCAGACTGTGAGTCACAAAGTTTGTTAGAGGCAGAAGAAGCTGGGAGCATGCTGGGAAGGCTCAGCAGTGGCGGACCCTTGTTTAGAAGACAGAGACTCAACTTTGAACCAGTGGCCTTCCTTGGCCTGTTGGGAATAAATGCATCTGTTTTCTGAGCCAGGTGGAAGCATCAGCAGGCCCCCTCAGTATTAGGAGTGGGCGGCGTGGGGGGCGTGGAGTGGGGGGTGGGTGTCAACCTCAGTTTGCACTGCTGACCTGTGGGCACTGCGGGAGGATGTTGCTGAATTTGTCCTGTACCAGCGTGCGAGGTTGTGAGGTTCCCACGATATATATGTATTTTTTTTCCTTTTCTCTCTTTCTTTCTTAACTCTGTTTTTCCACTATTTTCTGCAGAGGGAGCAGCCTGAAGCTGCAGATCATTTGACAAAAGCATGTGACTGCAGGGCACCTGCAGTGGGAAGCAGTTAGGACAGGCCGGTCAGAATGGCAGGAATCAGGAACCCTGTTTCTTCTGCATCACCCGTCACACTGCGCTGCTAATCTGCTGATTTCTCCAGGGTATCTGAGAGTTCAGGGTCCCTGGATCCAATAAATCCGGGGAGCTCGGGGAGGAACAGATGGGTAAACTGGGAAGCCAGCACATCTGGGGTGCTATTTTCAGATACACCCCAAATTTGCTGTTCTCTTTAATAGTAAGTTTTTATTTCCCCAGATACAAACAGCACAGAATGGTTCATAGAAAGATTTTGATGAGAAGGTCCTTTGGGACATCCCGGTGAAAGAAAGTTGCGATGGTGCTGGGTGGGAGATGCCAGTCATTCCCAGCCTAGTCTTCTAGGGCAGCTTGTCTGCCTGGAGTTTAGTTTGTGGAAAGAAATAGTCCAGTGATACTGTAACCGTTCTCTCCCTAGAAGTCAATATAGTGATGGAGAGAGGTGGGAGTGGTCAGCTGGGAGGGCATATGGCCTCATACATTTCCTATGATTGTTCTTTTTCTCGTTTTCCAAGAGATTTAGCCACACTTTGCTGGTGTAAGGCAAAGTGAAAGCTGGGGTCTCCTGACTCGTTCCTTTTCCCTCTGGCTTCCACTTTTCTGTGATTTTTCAAATAGGGGCTCATTAGGAAAATGCCACCAGGAGTTTTATTAACTAATGAGTAGTGAGAACCTAGGTGGAGGCGGACGTTGCCTAAGAACTTTAGGTAAAGGTGCCATTTGACCACCCACCTTATGATTTAAATTCTTATCCTTTAATACTTCCCTGCGTGGCAGCTCTGGGCGTGTCTGCATGACCCCCTCTTATCCCCTCCTCACTCATCTCTGCTCCCCATGTCTTCCTGTCTTCCCTGCAGGGTATAGGGTTGTCTGGGACAGAAGGAATCCTAGCCCATCTCAGACTAAGAGCCCGTTTACAGCCAAGTGACCCCATGCAAGTGGAGTTTCTAGGAATCCTATCTTAGTGTAAAGTGTTAGGGTGTCCGTCCACCCCCCAGGTCTGTCGGGACCCTCACCATGGGGCAGCTACCACTTTGTAAGAGTCTCTGCATTTGCAGACAGGGTACGCAGAAGACCTCGTCCCTGTGAGGTCCTCTTGGGCCTTCACCCCTCTCTCTTCCCTCTGGCAGCCCCTGCACCCCGTTTGCAGCACCTCCCCTAAACACACAGATCGCCTTGGCCTTGCTGCTTTCTCTTCCTCCCCCAGACTCTCCCCAGAGGTCCCCCACAGCGCACTCCTTGACCAAGTCACTTTCTGAAAGCCTGTCCAAATGGGCAAAAATAGTTTCTGCAGTCTTGGTTATACTTAGGAACGTGGATTGACAAGGGACATGGACAAATAGATGCACTTTGTACTAGGATGGGAAGCCCATGATGAGTTCTCTGCAGAAGTATGTTCCCGTTGGCTTTGCCTGCTGTTGGAGTTGAGTGCCTGGCCTTTCTCCCATGCCGATCACCTGGGCCTGAGCTCTGGCCTTCCTTCCTGGGAGCACCACATTTACTTGAGCTAAGGCCCTCTGAGAAATGCTTCCTCCAGACTGAGGACAACTGGCCTTGAAGACCAACTGAGGATTTCCCCTCCTACGTACTCTGCACCCACTTCCACTAAACCCAAATCTGCTTCAACTAATTCTTCTACACCTGAAGTGCTTTGCACCTCTTGTCCTGTGATTGCAAGTGTCCTGTAGGGAAATAGCGTGGTGTAACAAGCCTGGGAAGCCTGCTTGGCGGAGACTCTTGTGTGGTCTGTGCACCTGTTGTGAAAAGAACAGAGAAACTGGCGAGCCAGGCTGACTCTTCCTGGGTGCAGAGATTCACTTGCATGCAATCTCCATGGCACTGCTGCCCTGGTCACAGGTGACCCTGCGAATCTGAAACATGTTCACACGTACAATTCCCTGTGCACGTGTATGCTCTGACCTCCTCTCCTGAGTCTTGAGCCTTCTGCAGCTCATGGCAGATGGCTGGTGCTGTAGGAGCTGCTGGCCCGCCCCTCCAATGCCCCATCCCTTTATTCCCCTCAGGAGAGGACCTGGTAGGTGGGGCTGAGTTTTTCCCTTGTTGCTCATAGTTCAGCGATTCAGCTGCTGTTTCCATCTCGCACAGACATAAAAATACGGAGTTCATAGCACTTTTTAGAAAATCTGTAGAAGAGAGGAAAAAGAAAGTCCCTTGAATCCTATTCATTAAGACCCACCTGTTGGGGTTGGAGACGTAACTGGGTGGCGTAGCCATGCGTTTAAACCCCAGTACCACAAACAAACAGCAAAAACAACAAAGCGTCTCCATTTATCTTGCGATGTAAACTGCCATTGTGATTGTGCATCTAACCTTCTGATTTTTCCTTTCTCTTCCTTTCTACATCCTGCCTGTGTCACCCTTGACTGGCGTGTTTCAAGGTGAAGGCCTCAGAGGCCCCATGCTGGCCTGGACCCAGATCTGCCCTCAGTGACCTTGGACCCCAGCTTTTCTGAACCTCATTTCTCCCCCTAAAAAGGTGACAACTTCCACCTCACCGGAGAGGAGAGTTAGAACAAGAGCAGCCCCGACTTTCCCTGTTCTTTCTTCAACTCTTTTTCTCCTACTTCCTAGTTTTTAAAAAAGTCAAAAATCAAATAAGCAAGAAGTTACATCCTACAGCTTAAGAATAGTACTTGTGATTTTGTTACTTACGTCAAGCTAAAGAAACTCTAATAAATTCTTTCCTGGTAGTGAGCCAGTTATAGAAAATCTGAACATATAGCAAGCTGTGAAATATTACTTTGATACCTCTCCTTCTACATATTTATATAGTTCAAATTATTAATTTTAATGCTTTTTCTTTTTCTTTTTTCTTTTTTTTTTTTTTTGTTCAAGGATCGAGCTCGCAACCTCATGCTTGCCACTGGGCTATGTCCCCAGCCTGGAATTACTAATTTTATACTATTTTTGTATTCTTTTTCTTTCCACATAGCATTAGCATATAAGCACTTTCCTCGTCCTAAGTTACCGAAAACTTTCTGGTTACGATTTAAAATGCGTATTTATAGCCGGGTATGGTGGCACACGTCCATAATCCCAGCACTTGGGAGGCTGACATAAGAAGGTCACTATAAGTTTGAGGCCAGTTTGGACTACAAAGTAAGCTCAAGGCCAGCCTGAATTGCATAGTGAGACCTTGTCTCAGAAAGACAAAAAATAAACAAACAAAATAAATAAAAACCAATGTATTTATTTAGCACAGGGGTAGAGTGTGGGCTTCAGACCTGCATTAGCCTGAGACAAATCAGCTTAAGAAGAGAGAGATTTCTCTTGGCCCATTGTTTTGGAGGTGCACAGTCAATTGGCCTTGTTGGTTGGGGCCTATGGTGAGGCAGCACATGATGATCAAAGCCAGTGGCACAGGATGCTGCTCATATGTGTCTGGATAGTAAAAAGTGGGAGACAGGGCAGGGCCCCAGTTCCAACATCCCCTTCAGGCACCCCTGCTCTCCAGGGGTCAGCCAACACCAACCTGACTTCCTTCCCGGAGGCCT